AAAAAAAAAAAAAAAAAAGGATCTGCAGATGAACAAAGTTCAATGATATATGGAGAATTAGAAGAAAAAAAACTTCTGTAAAAGAAATTTTTATGAGTTTCGCAACGCTGTAAGAACCTTATTCATATTATATCTGTTGTATTGTATCTATTGGTATCAATTTTGCTTTATTTCATTTTTTTTTCAGTCTTCTTTTTTTATCTTAGAAAATTTTGCTCGTTTGTTGAAGAATGCTTATAAGGAAAAAAACTATGATAGCTCCATGAAAGTTAATTGTTGATTGTATTTTTGTCCGCATTATACATATGGCTTTTAATCCTTTGTGATATTGAAAGAGGTGTATAGTAGTGAAAACATTGTTACTATAATTTATTACACTGACAAAAAAATTGCACTCAAGTACAAGTGCAATTGAAGGTGAAAAAAAAGACAATAAAATTAATCCTGAAATTACGCCTACATTTTCTTTTTTTTTTTTTTACAACATCGTAACGCTTCAAATTACCAGTGTATTAAATACAGTCGTGTAAATTAATCACATTTGAATAATATTGAAGGGTTCAGAATCGGTTACGAATTTTTGGCAAAAATTTGAACACTGATCATTTTTTTCAACGAATTAATTCAATCTACCTATCCGTGCGTTATGTGAGAAGACAAAAAGTTTTTGCAGCTGTTATTGAAACCGCTGTTTCTTCCTACAGTTCACTACAGCTCGATAATTTCGAGCATAAAATGACATCTTCATTTCGCTAAATCGCCAAAAGATTACCTTTGAAATTCTTTGCTATTTTTTTGCATCTGCTCTTATATAGCGCTTTGAACCAGATTTTGTGAACAAAAAAAGCAAAAGTGCAAAATACAAAATGTCTGATAGCTGAAGGTGAGCATTGGGTTTATGTAAGTTAATGCATGAAGGTACTGGAAAAAAATGTCAGGTGAACCATCAACTATGAAGCAAATTGCGTGAATGATCGAAAAAATAGCAAAAGTACGAAATGACCAGACAAAAGATTAGGTAATGGTTAAGCTTGATCGAAAACTACCACTAACTTGTCTTCATCAACTTTCAGTATTATTAAGTTCCACAAGAACAGTATTTCTTTGTACTTGATGACAGTTTTTCGCGCGCTGATCACAGATGTGCTAAGCTGAGAATGACAGTTCAAGCGTAAACCTGAAACCAAAAGTAGACTATCGAATTTGATTTTAGTGTTGCTGTTCGAAGAAGGTAAATATCTGGAATAATTGAACTTGGTGCCACTATGAATGAACTGTTCAAATGAGCACAGCCTACTCGTAAAGATTAACACCGGCAATGTATTTTTTATAAAAAAAACGCATTTTTTTAGATTAATAAGTTTTTTACAGTTTTCTGAGACTTTTAAAATGTTATGCTAATTTTGGTGTGTGGAAAATTTGCCCATTTTACAGATATTCGAGTAGTCAATACCAAACAAATAAAGCAGAACATAAAAAGAAAAAAAAATAAAGTTCAAAGGAGTGTGAGCATAAGAGACATGCCGAATGATAAAGGGGACCTGAGAAGCAAAACCAATGACGAAACTCACAAAGTCCCTCTGATCGCCCAATAAACCGTTTTTCCTCTCGGAACCTTAACAAGCATAAACTGTTTTGACAATTAGGGTATCTCTGTCCTTTTAACGCTTATCTAAGAGGTGTTATTAGTGGCCAACTCTTCCTACACCGCTTTTCGTTTTAAAATCTAGGTGCTATAAAAGATTTAGGCCCATCTTCAGATGACGTCAATGCTCAGAATCGGGGACTTCGCTT